GGCGGGGCCGCCGCCGCCCCGGCGCCCGCCGCCGCCTCCTTGGCCACCCCCGAGCTGGGCAGCGGCCTGAAGAAGAAGAAGCGGCTGTCGCAGTCAGACGAGGACGTCATCCGGCTCATCGGGCAGCACCTGAACGGCCTGGGGCTCAAGTAGGTGCCGCCTGCGGGTCGGGCCGGGGATCCACGGTCGGGCCGGGCCGGGCCGGGCCGGTGCCCCGCGCGATCCGTGCACCTCGAGGCCTGCTCGCCCGCCCGTGAAGACGGGCGCGAGTGCCGGGGAGGGGAAGACCCGGGCCGGAAAAATAATGAACCTCGAAGGATTTGTTTTTCGAGTGTCTCGGAGACATCTTTGTGGGACACCTCCCCACCCCCAGCCGTGACAACAACCCGAGCAAACCGCCAATCAGCTGAGGCAGCCACCTACAAGTGTTTACGGGAGCGCGGAGCTGGGCGCTTTGGGAAGGGGGCCGAATGCGTTTGACGGGGGTAATGAAGTGGGATGCCCTGTGTGTACATAAGGCCTCGCACCAGCTAGGCAGGAGTCCCGGTTTAAAACCGTCCAGATGATTGCCCCTGAAACAGGGACTTCTGATCCAGTGAATCATTTGCTTTGAAATACAGTGTAAGCGGTTTTGTGTCGCTAATATTAAGAGTTAAGGTAGACATTGGCTTTGGCCCCAAACCACTTTTGTGTGTACACACAAAGAAGAACCGAGAGAGTTGGAAGGTGGGTTTGGGGAGCTTGATGGAGGAGCCGCAAAGACGAAGCTGGAAAGAACATGCAACAGTTCCCTCACTTCAGAGTGTGGGTTAAAGAATGTGCAGTGTCGTATTTATGGGTTTGCTGGGGAGTGGGAAAGACAACTCCTTAAAAAGTGGCATAAGTTGCCTCTTAGGTGACTGCTCTCTTTACTTGGGAAGATAGGTAGACCGGAGTAAAGCATTACGTTGAAACCGGCAAGCAAGCCTAGTGAAGGAAGATTCTTAGGTATCAAAATACCAGATAGAAGGAACCTTATTTGATGAATCCTTTTTAAACTGTCAGAGAAATAACGTGGCAGAGAGATTCACTTCATTCCCTGAGGAAAAGGATTAGGGTGAAAACAGATTTTGTAAATGCTAGCAGAACATGTTACTGAGACAAGAAGCAAGCTGACAGCCGCAGGAGGAAATAACTCGTGACTGTTTGGAACCTGCACCTTAGTAAATTTGCTATTTTTAGTTGAGAGAGAAAGGAAATGGTTTTTGATGCTAGATTTATTTTGAAGATCTAAAAAAAAAAGATTGATCTAATAGAATTCGTATGTGTAAACATCTAGCCAGAAGGCTGTACCTGACCTAGGTCATACGTCACTTTGGTGTGGAGATAAGGATTTTACCTTTCATTATGTAGTGCCATGGGTAGTTTGGTTTTTGTTTTGTTTTTCCCAGTTAATTTGACTAAGATACATTTTTGGAAGTTTTGTACTTCATTACATTTCTGACATACTGAATAGCAAAAGTAGGAAAAATAATTTGATTCTGGTTTCAGGAAGTTTTCAGCCTGAACAGGAATAAATGTAGTTGGCACTTAAGTTTATTTCAGTAAATTAAAGCCTTTTTTTCCCTTCACCATGAGGTGAGTTTAAAAACTTTGCAACTGTTTAGTTAGACGATAGTTTATTTGGAAGAAGACTAAGAGTGGGAAGTCGGTCGGGCCTTTTTCACACTGTATCTCTCCCGCAGCCAGACTGTTGATCTCCTCATGCAAGAGTCAGGGTGTCGTTTAGAACATCCTTCTGCCACCAAATTCCGCAATCATGTCATGGAAGGAGACTGGGATAAGGTAAAGTAGGGCGCACAGAGCCGTGTGACTGCTGCTAAAGTTGTATGTTGGTTGTGCATTCGGTGACATCTCTTTTTGTTTCACACCAATTTTTGCAGGCAGAAAATGACCTGAATGAACTAAAGCCTTTAGTGCATTCTCCTCATGCTATTGTGGTAAGAGGCGCACTTGAAATCTCTCAAACGTTGTTGGGAATAATTGTGGTAAATACACTTTTGTTCTTAGTTTCACATTTACGCTTATTTTAATAGGTTATTGATAACTCTAGGCATCCTTCTGTTATAAAGGATAAGACTTGAAAGTAGTTAAATTTCGTATAATTAAATTTGTGCTCTACAATTGTTTTAAAGTATGTTTTATGTTTTTAATATATTTAGTAAATGTGTCCCATGAATCTAGTTTGTGAGTTAAGCTCTACAGAGATTGTATTGAAAGATCTTCCAGCTTTTGGTGCTGTTAATGATCTTTTATACTTGTAAATAAGTTATATTTCATATTAATCAGAATATTGTGTTGTCTAAAGAGAAACGGTATCACATATTTGCACAGCCCTAATGGCACTGGCATGTGAATGCCCCTTTGAATCCTCGGAGACACAGTTGGCTCAAGCCAACACCAGTTGGTGCTTGCTGTTTTCCGCCCTTGTGCTCCAACTGTGTGGGTGACAGTGTCAGTGTGCGTGGTGTGTGTCACTGTGGGAGAGTATGCAGATTCGACCCTGGGCCCTGCTTACCTGTCTGGCTTCCCTGACAAGATCAATTTCAGCATTTAACTTGTCAGTGTTTGTTGATGTATTTTTTATACTGATGGGCTTTAGTGCTCCAGATGTTGGTGAGGGAAAGGAGGGGGGTCTTGTTTCCAAGTGCTGGTGCTCAGAAACCATGAAGAATCAGCTGCTGGCTGCTGGCTTTTTAACTTATAGCTGATTCATTTCTTGTCAGAAGCAATTTCCTGTCCGGTGGGGGAGGGAAAAAAGGCGAATAGGAAGTGAAGTAGGGAAGCCAGCTGTTTGTTAAATATTAGTAAATGACTGTTAACATTTTGGAGAGAGGTGTGTGTGTGCGTGTTTTCTTAAATTGGGTCAAACATTAATCTTTTCTACCTTTGCCTGTAAACTTTAAAAAAACCTGTTTTTTTTCTTTTGAAAAATCTTATTACAAAGGAATTCTCAAATTTTAGTATGAATCTATATGAAAGTGTAATCTTAAAAATACAATCCTTCAGGTGAATTAAAATTAAAGCACTGTGTAAACAGAATGAAGGAGTTGTAGATAATGAGGAATTCTTTCCTTTTACTCTCTGTTCAGTCTATCTAAAAACAAGATGAAAATGAGGTCCTAGTGAGCCTCACAAGATTCCAACTTATATTTTACTTTAAGCATGGGCAAATCAATTTTTTTGATGGAACCAGGAATTGAACTCAGGCCCTTGTGCTTGCCAGGCAAGCGCTTATTCTACTGAGCTCTCTCCCCAACCCCAACTTTTAAAGATTCAAGTTCTGCTTTTTATTTTTAAGTTGCTTTTCACCTACCTAAGTGTGTGTGTTCGTGTTTATTCCTCTTCGCACCTCATATTCAGAAGATAATCTAGTGTAAGTTAATCTTACATTTGTAATAATACCTTAAAAGACTAGTTTTTTAACATAATTATTTTAATTGTATGCTCAGACTCATTTGATGACTTAAGTCTAGACTAAAATTTGTTTTTAAACCTGAATGTTTTATTGATCCAGTTTATTCCCCTCCCTGCATTGCCCCTTCCCATTTTTTAAATGTTACCAAATGGTACCATGAGTAGCAGAAGTTGCTCTGGACTCTTTGAAGCTGAATTCATGAATCATTAAGTAAAATGAATCTTAGGAGCCATGGTTTAAATATAATTCGTGTCCTTTTTGCTTTAAGTCATTAAATTGGTACAACTTGTCTTACAAGCTTACTGTAGAGTTAGAACCACTGCTAAGTTAGATAGGAGGCTACCTCAACAGTTAGGCTTTCTGTGTATCGAAGTTCGTGACTTTGGCTTGTACATTAAAGTTCAGTCTAAGGGTTTGGGGCTCTAGCCCAGTGGTAGAGAGGACCTTGCTTAGTGTGAAGAAGGCCCTGGGTAAAATCAGTCTGTTAACAAGAGAGAAAAAATAAGTCTAAACTTAGGGAGAGATGAAGGGCCTGACAACAGTGTGAAGCTGTTGTTCAAGCCATTATAGTCAGTTAGCAATTTCAGGGGTTTTTAGATGTTTAAAAGAAAGAAGGAAGTATTTCTGGGTCCAGAAATACAAAAAACTCAAGGGAAACCAGAGTTTTAAGTGGAAGCGAGAAAAGATGAGCGGGGAGTTGTATTTCCTCACCTTTCTTTTGTCTGCCCTCCATGGGCTCTATAGAAAGTCAGGGCACGTCCTGTCCTCATCTACGCAAGCTTCATTTTTGCCTGAATTTTAAAGTCTTTTACAGAAATAGTTAATACCATTTGTGAATTATAAGGTCTTTATTATTTTGAGGTTATACTTTTGTGTTTTAAATTTTGGAAGGTAAAATACAATTTTACTGCTTGTTATTTGTGAAGTGATTCTTAGGCTACACATTTCTGTCTCTTAACCAGATCTCTACCTGTTTGGCTAATGTTCTACACAATAGTAAGATTCAGTATCTGTCTGAAGCTAGTCTTTGTTTTAATCTGGTTAAAATGACTCATAGAGAAATGTTGTGCTGCTTTTATAGCATTCCTTGTATATACAGAAAGGTGTGCGTGTTGGCATTTCTCAAGGTTTTAATCTGCCTTCCTCTCCCGCCCTGCCTCTGCACCTAAGATGTGCGTGGCTTCCTCTCTCAAGCTTTTGCTAGGAAAATTAGGAGGAAGCAGCACTTAGGGCACTGGCCCTAAACACCCTGGAAGGGGGAGGCATTCGCCCTTATAACTAATAAACACATAAATGACTTGCCCCAAGTTTAAAAAAAAGCCCTCTATTCCCAATTGCTAAGAAGATTTAGTAAATAAATAAAATTGCATGCTGACCAGTTTCATGTGATATTTAAATGCAACAGTTCTACAACTAGATAGGATTCTCAAGTTTGAATATAAAATACATTGGATTAAGCAAAACTTTTAACATAGTATTGATTATGGAAACATGAGCTCTTCATTTTATAAAGAGGTGAATTTTTTTCAGAAGATAAAATGGTCAGAACATCCAGAAAAAATTCACATTGTTTGTTTCAAGCTCTTTAGTTCTTTGCTTTTTATAACCTGCTGAACATTGGGGTAATTCTTTATTTGACACATAAAGATGAACTGTAGGGTACATGTACAACAAAATATTTTAAAAAGGCATCTTGGTGACTTTCAGTCTGTTGCTGAAGCATTCCTAAATCAATCTTAGTGTAAAATTTGGTGTGATTTTCCTAGAGTTACAAGAGCTTGTCTGTGAAACTTTAGATTATTATAAGACATGAAGAACATGTCTTATGAAGGATATTTAAATATTTGCCTAACTTTTATGCATTTGTTTGTTATTCTTATTTCCAGAAAGTTTTATAAGCTTGTATTTTGCCTTAAGTGCTCCTTAATAAAAAAACTTTGTAAAGCAGATCATTATAACCTTATCTCTGTAAAAACATACTGTTTACCATATTGTGGCAACAAATTTCTAATGATTTTAAAGTAAGCATCTAACAGATAAGCACTGTAATTAGTTTTTTATTCTAAATGGACTTGAAATCCTTACCAGTGTATGCCTTAGCTTAGGGTCTTTAAATATGATCAGCATTTCTTACCTAATTTTCTGCCTATGTCAGTTGGCTTGCTGTAGCACAAGTAACAAATTTGATAAAAGCATCCCTCCAGAGTGTCCTTAAAGGTTTAAAGAAGTCCAAGATACATTTACATCTCTCCTCCAGAAAAAAACCTTAAGACTCTGATGATCACTTTTCAATTTAAAAGCATGATAAAGTGACATTAAAAAATACTAAAGTGGGCTGGTGAGATGGCTCAGTGGTCTAAAGCACCTACTTAGAACAAGCTTAGCAAAGCACAGGGACCAGGGTTCAATCCCCCAGCACCACATGCCAGCCAAGCCCTGCCCCCTGGTGGGCTGAGCTGGCCACACACACACACACACACACACATACACACACACAAATAAATAAATAAATTTTTAAAAAGTACTAAAGCTAGTTCATTTTGGGGAGATAACTAAATATAAAAGTGCCTCACAATAAACCAGAGTACTTTGCCAGGAAGATGGCTCAGTAGAATAAGCGCTTCCTGGAAGGCACAAGGGCCTGAGTTCAATCTCCGGTTCCACCAAAAAATAAAAAAATAAGCCAGAGTGCTTTATGAGGGGTGGATGAGCTGATAACTGCTTTGTATCAGTGATGTATTTGTTGCAAATATGCATGCTTTTAAACACTGAGCCTTCTTAAAAGATCTTCAGGCTCATCCTTCTAATGTCAGCAGCCCTTTGTGGCTACCTAGAAGACAGTGTGCCAGCTTCTCTAGTCTATTTGTTTTATGACTATTACTCAGGATAAGCTAAAATCTAGAACTTTTATCTTTTACCCAAGAGTGTCTAGTTCTGCGTTCTGGCCTACCCTTGGTCCCTCTTCACATTGTGGCTTTTTTGTTTGCTTTGATTTTTTTTTTTTTTTTTTTTATTGTTGTTGTTCCTTTGGTGGTGGGTTTTGTGTATGCTGGGCAATGTTCTACCACTGAGCTACACACTTAGCCCATGTATTGTGGCTTTTAAATAATTCTCCCATTAATTGTTTTTTCTCCAATATTTAAAAAAAAAATGTTGCATAAAATTTGTTGCTGCCCCAATGTAAAAGACATTTTGAAACAATTTTGAGGTACTGCATTTCTCTTAAGCACCCACACTCTGTTCTTCAGTGCATCCTAAATCTACCTTTAATAAGTCCTTTCCATGTCTCTTTAAAAAAATTTTTTTTGAGATACTTGGAATTGTTCTAAATGTTCATAAATTCTAGGATACTATTTTGAGAGCAAAATTCACTTTTTCTTGTATTGATGATGCCTTGGTCACTAATGAGCTTGACAGATTTTGCGCTTTAATATTAAGATGTAGGGTTGAGTAAAACCACTTTTAATCTGTTAAAATTCTTTTAAACCGAAATATTTTAGTGATCTTGAAGCTTTGTAAATCATTTTCAAAGGGCATAGTAGAATGGTTTCTACTGTTCTGTTTAGGCACAAACATTTTCTGAAACTACCATCAACTTTTTTCCCCTGACTGCTGCTTTCTGTCATGTCAGAGGATGAAGTTTCTGCTGCTGCAGCAGAAGTATCTGGAATACCTGGAGGATGGCAAGGTGCTGGAGGCACTTCAGGTTCTGCGCTGTGAACTGACGCCCCTGAAGTACAACACAGAACGCATCCATGTTCTTAGTGGGTAAGGAAACCAAGGCTGCAGACCCTGGGCGGATGATGAGGTTATTTTTAGAGACCATCACTTGCCACCATTACATTTCTTTAACATTTTTCCCAGATAGAAACACTTGAATGTTACGAGGTTCTTTTTTAATGTTAGTCTAGGTAAATTCACTGATGTATATGCAATCTGATTTTTGTCATCTTGGAAAGCTCTTCAAGTTAATAAAATGGCCACATGTACCAGGTTCCTGCAAGCATGTCACATAAACAGCATCATTTCATCTTCATGTCACTCCTTTTACAGTCCAGGTACCCAGGGCTTGGTCCTAGGCCCTGTCATTTTTCTGTCTGTACCCTTCCCTAGGTAATCTCACTCAATATCATGCCTTCCCAGATTCTGCATGCCAGAGGCTTGCTAGTCCACCTTCTCATCTTGACTTAAAACTCCCAACTCCCACTTTTGTATCTCCTCCCCCTTCTCCACCCAGCTGGGCCAGTGTTAATGAATGACAAGTGCTACTCGGTTGCTCACACACAAAGCCTAAGCCTTGTCTTGTGACACTCGGGCCTGGCTCCAGAAACATCCCAGGTGTGCCTTCTTTCTGTCTCCGCCGTTTCCACGCTTGTTAAGCCGCTGAACTTCTAGAATATTACAGTGATTTCCGGGCATATTGTACTGACTTCAGCTCTATTCCTTCAACAATGCTTATTTCACAGTGACCAGAAAAATACATAATTAAATCATAAATTAAGTCACTTTACTCCCTTGCTTAAAATATTCCACTACCTTTTTAGTACATTTAAAATAAGCCCAAAATCTCTGCTTAAGCCTATAGGAACCTCCATCCTTTCCTGCTCTTTCCTCAGTGTGATCCTCTATAGTGACACTAATCACTGTCTCTTCACTTGCAAACTCTTCAGGGTTTTACACTGATTGACCCTGTCTCAAGTCACTTCCCTAGTCCCCGGCTATTAGTTGCTAGGTCCCAGCTAAGTATGCTGTCTTGAGGCTAGCTTATGTCACGTAACTGCTTTTCATTTTTTTCCTTAGTAGCATTTTTCACTACATGATAGGAGCCCAACATGTGCAGCAATACTAACACATAAGGAGTGTTTACAGACAGAACAAGGGGCAAAAGAATGGGACCAAACAAGGTAGAGGATCCATCTTGCGGATAGGGAAACTTGAGCCTCAAGTGAAGTGACTGTCCCAGTGAAATAACTAATTTTGTATGAACTTGAGGTTTTTGTTTTCTGAAATTGAAGAATAAATTTGAGAACAAAAGGAAGAATCCAGGGGAATATTGATGGAATATTTTAAGATAAGAAACTCGTGGTGGATACTAGGATGGGAAAGAAGTCCAGTGTGCTATCTGTTTTAGCCTCATGGCAGGATGGGGAGCTTGTTTAAAAGAAGATAAGTTTAAAAAGAAATTATTTTGCCTTTTAAAATGCTTTTCAAGTCCACCCTAGGTGGAGAAGATCTCTCAACTAATTTTGTCTATGTTCTTTTTGGGTGGAAAGGTCCTTATCTTCCCTTCAGAACTCAACCTTTTATCCTTTTTTTATTTTTGTTTTTTAAATATGTTTACACCTAACCTGATACATATCTTTTTTCTTTTTTTTTACGGTACTGGGGATTGAACTCAGGACCCTGTGCTTGCCAGGCAAGTGCTTATTCTACTGCGCTCTCCCTGGCCCTGATACATACCTTTTTGAGGTACTGGGATTGAACTCAGGATCTTGCGCTTGCCAGGCAGGCACTTATTCTACTGAGCTAGTTCCCTGGCCCTTCTGATACATACCCTTTTATTTGACCCTGTTTTAGACTTTTCTTCTGGCCCACTTGAACTAAACTAAGCTGCTACACCAGGATGAGCCTAGTTTGATTGCCAAGTCATTGGTCTTGAAACAGTAAATTCTGCTCCTTGCTTTGTTGTCATTATCTTTTTGTACGTTATCTGATTTATTTATCACTTAAATATCATTGACATGAAGGAGAGGAGTCTGGTAACAGATCATACGTAGTTTTTATTGTGAAGCGAATTTTATGCCCTACCAAGTTTACCTCCTAAATTTTTCACATGAGGGAAATGTCCTAGGGGTGGCAAGACATGTAGCTGGGATTCAATCCTGTGGATTCTGCCTGTCAGTCCAGTGTCTTGCTGCATGTGGTGGTGCACGCCTATAATCCCAGCACTTGGGAGGCTGAGGCAGGAGGATCCTTGAATTGAAGGCCAGCCTGGGCTGTGAGGTGAGCTCAAGGCCAGCCTGAATTGCATAGTAAGACCCTGTCTCAAAACAGAAAAAGCAGTGTTTTCTCAGTTATACCTTGTGACTTCCCATAAACAAAAAATAGTATTAATAACCTCATGTTTAACATTATGTATTTTCAAAAGAACACAGTAGTAATTGTTGTTACTGCAGAATTTAAAATTAAGCAGATTGCCCAAACCACAATAATTCTCCCACAAAGTTACTTAGAAACATGTTTTCATGCTATTTACATCCCTATAAGGACTTTGAGTATAATTTTTTTTCTTTTTTGAGGATAATTTTTTACGCTATATATTTTTAATACTTTTTGCCCACCAAGGAACTATTTCTATATCAATTGGGAAGGAAACATGTAATTTTACTGCTGGGATAAGAAGCTATTTGGATTCTAAATGAAATGCAGTTTTGCTGTTAGGAAATGGAGAGCAGGTCCCAGAACTCTTAAGAAGCTGAAGCAAGAAGATCAAAAGTTTGAGTGCATGTGGGCATTGTAGTGTTTTAGTAGAATACTGAATGTAGCTCACTCAGTACGAAGGTCCTGGGCTTAATCGCCAGTGCTGGAGAAAAAAAAGCAAGAAAGGAAGGAAGGGAGAGGGGCAGTGTTGATGTTGACCCAGCACTTTCTGATACTCGTGTCGTCATTCCTGGAATGCGCTGTCTTGCAAGCAGCAGAGTGAGCACTCCCGGTGCTTCCTTCCCCTTGGTCTCCTTACACATGAGGAGGACACAGCTGTCTAATCGGGACCGCATGGCAGCGGAAGGTCCCCAGCCAGGTCTGGTCTCCCCGTTGGAAAGCTGCCCTTCATTTGTCACTATTAAGTCACATCCCCCGAGAAATGGAGAACCAGCCTTAGGGTTGTGTTCGCTGGGTTCTCGAGAATCCATGAATTTTTCTGCACATACAGTAACTAATAAATTTCATGCTCTGGGATCTCAGTACCTTAACAAAATGACATCAGATATTATAAGTTTATACCGTGTTTTGGGTGGTATTTGTGATAAGCTCTGGAAGCATGTTGCTTTTGTTCCACTTACTATAATTATCTAAGGGGCTTCTTTTGAGTTACTATTGAGCAGTTAGCGCAGTGGTGAAGAGCAAGTTCTGCAGCTAGAATAGCCCTGTTCCCTCACCTTGCTACCCCTTCTAGCCTAGTTACCTACGCTTTCAGTAGCTGCGCGTCCTCACTTACAGAAACAGTAATAACACCATAGGGCTAATCCACGTAGGGTCGTTACTAACATTCAGTGAGGTATTTATGGTGAGGGCTTACACTGGAGCCCAGCGTAGCATAGGAGCTGCGTGCATAGGAGCTGCAACCAGAAGAATGTATTCTGTGGATATCAGTAGTATTGGATACTTAGCTGTTACTGTCACATTTTAGTAATTTTATACAGGTGTTTGGTTATGTTAATAAATTGAGTCCACTGTAGAAACTTCTTCTTGGTACTTGTTAACTAGGACAGTATAGTCAAAATGCAGTATTGCAGTTATGTTCCAAAGAAATGGGTTTGATACTTGCTCTTTTCTCATTAGGTATCTGATGTGTAGCCATGCAGAAGACCTGCGAGCAAAAGCGGAATGGGAAGGCAAAGGGACAGCTTCCCGATCAAAACTATTGGACAAACTTCAGAGTAAGAGTCTGATTTTTTTGTGGTACTTGGGATTGAATCCAGAGCTTTTGTAATAAGCTACAAACCTCCCTCACTTTTTAATTTTGAAAGAAGGTCCCACTAAGTTGTCCAGGCTGAGCTTGAACTTGGTGAGCCTTGGTGAGTGCCGAGATAACAGGCATATGCCACCACGCCCAGTCAAGAGTCTGAACTTTTGATGGTTATTTCTCTTAGGTTAGAAATAGTTAGTATGGGTAAGTTAGAAGGTCGTGTCTCTAGTGTACTGTCATTGAGTTGTTGTAGAAGGGAGCTCCATTAACCTTCGAAACCAAAGATTTCCCAATTGTGCCATTGGGCTTGAGTGTGAAAGGCACAGTCCCCGGGAAGTCCTTGTGTTCGAGTCAGTGCAAGTACTCTGAAGGTTCCCTTGATAGCAGAAGTGCTGTGGTGAAGAGTAAATAATATGTAAACCAAACTTCAAGCCACAAGCGTTTTAAAATTTTGTTGATTTCAGTGGTAAGGCCCAGATTTCCTTGGGTAAAATGTTTTATTTTTCTCTTCTTACCTGACTTCCAGATTGCAGTGGGAGTTTCATTTTTGCCAAATCCTTATGTGAAAGGTGTTTTCCTTTCTGCTGTATTATGTAGTTTTAATGCTGAAGTAGGAATTTTAAGACTCAAATACAATGTTAGGATATATATGAAGCATTGTAAGATTGGAATTGAACACTATTCAATAGCAAAATATTAGCAACTCTCTGAATTTCTATGATGTACTTGGCAGTAGGAGCCATTTGATGGGAACTGGAGCTTACAGCATTTTAGTTTGTTCCTTGTTAAGTGGATATTGTTTTTATACCTGGCTTCCCACTGATACATAATCTCTGTCAGGTATTTTTATCATCATCTACTTTTTTACCAGGGGGCAGGGGCTTTCTATTGGTTTTCCTAGAAAAACCCACATGCAAAATACTGACCTTGCAGATATATATAAGTATATAGCCCTGTTCTCAATGTAGCTTTTTCATGGATACATCCCCTACAACTCTTCTGTTGAGGCACCAGTTACATGAGGCAGGGACAAATGCAGCAGAAGATGAGCAAATGTCTTCAATAAAAGTTTACAGTTTATTATTGTTTTTATTTCTCTTTTTAAAAATATCTCCTATTAAAGCCTATTTACCACCGTCAGTGATGCTTCCCCCACGGCGTTTACAGACTCTCCTGCGACAGGCAGTGGAACTGCAAAGGGACCGGTGCCTGTACCATAACACCAAGCTCGACAGCAACCTCGATTCTGTGTCTCTCCTCATAGATCATGTCTGCAGTAGGTAAGAGGAAACCTCCTTGATGTTTTGAAATAGGTTCACATTTTATAGGTATAATTCTGAACTTTTATTAGAAGGGTTTTTGTGTTTGGGGGGGGTTTGTAAAGTTTTACCTTATAGCTAAGTATGATTCACATCTGATAGCATTTGTTGACAAGTAGACTTACAGTTACTAAAATTAGAAGATCTTATACGTGTCTGTAGAGTAAGTTGTGGTGGGAACTAGAGCTCAAGACCTGGTTTTTATTTTCTGTCAGTGGGTTTGGTTTGTCATTTTCCTTTTTTTTTTTTTTCCC